TACCTTCATATGCTGCCTGGACACTTTTAGACACTGGGGCTTGGGAGTATATATGAATTCACTTGGACTGAGCACTGGAACACAAGAAACTCCTTCCTGCTGTGGCTCAGCAGCTGAAAACTGTAGCTGTTCAGTTTAATCTATGCTTTGTCAAATGCTAACATACCTCTGAATTCACTGTGGTTTCTTGTGGTGCTGTAGAAATACCAACCTTCTCACATACACTCAGTGCTGCAATGGAATGAGCACAGGGAAGATTTCCCATGCTCTGTGGAGAGCTGCCTTTGCACCTTACATGGTGGAGGCTTTCCCTGCAGGGACTGCTAGAGCATTGCCTTCTGGCCTCCAGATCTGGAGGTTAAACAGTACTCATCTATCTGCATCACGTGGGCCTTTCCACATACTTGGCAAACAGGATCCTTAAGACAAGGGCAGCAAATAGTTTCATGCTGTTCCTCACCTGTTTTTGAGATACTATGTGCTGTTCAGAACAATATTAATACATTATTTTCATACAAGTTGACTAAAACAGTGGCAACCATTTATCTGCCTTGTCTTTTTAGAAAACAAAACATTTTACTTCTTCAGCATTGTGACACAGTTGAAGTCGCTCCCTGGTGTTACTGCCTGCCACAATGAGCTCTTTTGTTGCATTTCAGCCAAGAAAGAGGCAGGCAGTATGGAATGCCTCCAGTGGGCAGCTCACACTGGTAAATGCCCATGAGAGTCAGACACTACCAACTAGAGCTAATCATCATCCTAAAGAGCATTTTTCTCACCTGTTTAGAGACTACTTATTGTCATAGCTTTTACTTCTGCTTATTGCAGACAGGTTTAGGTCTCATCACTAAAAACTTCATATTCGATTGTTAGGAAATAATGTTCCTCAGAAAGTGAACTCCTGTGTCGCGATCCGCGACCTATTATATCTCCTTTTTGGAGTGTATTAAGCTTATCAGGATTTACTGAGGTCCACACGTGGGTATCGCCTCACACAGAGGAGCAGGGGCTTTGGCCCTGACTTTTTCGAGTGAATAACTTGCTCAGTGCTTACTAATATTTCCAATAACAGCAGCCAATCCCCAATTAGAATTTACGAAATGCACGGTTTATTGTGGGGAAAACAAAGCAATTTGGGGCAGGAGGTTCAAAACGAGTGATTAAAACACATGAAATATATATGGGTACACCTTAGTTACACACCTTATTTACTTATTTAAGCGAGGGAAGGAGGGGGAAATATGCCCAACGCTGTTCCCGTATAGGGTCGCGATTTGTGTGCAGGTAAAACAGGATTATACTTTCCCCTATAAGCTGGGGTAGCCGGAATTGTCTCGCCACACTGCGGCGCAGATAGGACAAGCTGGGTTAGCTGGGTCTGGCTGGAGCAAAGCGGAACCAGGCGAGAGCCAGGACTAGGTGAGCCGGGGCTCGGGCTGCAGCCGGGGCTCCAAGCGCAGGTCGCCCCGCTCACAGAGAGAAGCAGCGCGCGGTCGGCGTGGCTGCGGGACCGTAGGTGCGGCGCGGCTGGTTGCAGACCCTGGAAACGCGGCGGTTTCAGCGGCG